GGCTGTTTTTATTATAATGGCTTTGTAGTATAACCTGGTATCTGTAATTGTGACCCTCCAACTTTGGTTTTTTTGTTTTTTTTTTTTTCAAGATTGCTGTGGCTATTTGGGGTCTATTTTTGGTTCCATATAAACTTTTGGAGTATTTGCTCTAGATATGTGAAATATGCCATTGGTATTTTAATAGGGATTGCACTGGATCTATAGATTGCTTTGGGTAGTATGGACATTTTAATGATGTTAATTATTCCAATCCATGAACATGGTATATGCTTCTACTTTTTTATATCTCCCTTTATTTCTTTTTTCAATGTCCTGTAATTTTGTGAGAATAAGTTTTTTTTACCTCCTTAAAGATTTAGAAAGAGAACAAAAAGAAAAACCCAGAGTTAGTAGAAGGAAGGTGATAATAAAGGTCAGAGTAGAAATAAATGACATAGAGACTTAAAAAACAATACAAAAAAATCAATGAAACCAAGGGTTAGGTCTTTGAAAATATAAACAAGACTAATCAAACTTTAGCTAGACTCACTAAGAAACAAAGAAAGAGGACCCAAATTAATAAAATCAGAAATGAAAGAGGTAAAGTAACAACTGACACTATGGAAATACAAAGGATTATAAGAAAATACTATGAACAATTATATGCCAACAAATTTGACAACCTAGGTGAAATGGACAAATTCTTATATTTATACAGTCTTCCAAAACTCAACTGGGAAGAGTCAGAAAACCTGAACAGACCAATAAAAACTAAGGAAATAAAGGCAGTAATCAATAAACTCCCAGCAAACAAAAGCCCTGTCTGGACAGCTTCACAGGGGAGTTTTACCAAACATATAAAGAAGGACTATTCTCCTCAAACTATTCCAAAAAATTCAAGAGAAAGGAAGTTTAAGCTCTTTTTATGAGGCCAGCCTAATCCTAATCTCAAAACCAGATAAAGACACTACAAAGAAAGAAAATTACAGGTCTATATCCCTGATGAACTAGATGCCAAAATCCTCAACAAAATGTTAGCAAATCAGATCCAGCAATATATTAAAAATATTATTCACCATGACCAAGTGGGATATATCCCAGGATGCAAGGCTGGTACAATATTCACAAGTCTATAAATATGATACACCACATAAACAAATTGAAAGATAAAAATTATACAATCATATCACTAGATGCTGAAAAAACATTCAACAAAATCCAGCACTCATTTCTGATAAAAACTCCCAGCAAAGCATGAATAGAATATCATACCTCAACATAATAAAGCCATATATGACAAACCTACAGCCAACATCATAATCAGTGGGCAAAAACCAACAGCATTTCCCTAAAGAACAGGAACAAGACAGGTATATCCACATTCCCACTCTTATTCAACTACTATTGGAAGTCTTAGCCACAGCAATCAGACAAGAGTAAAAAATAAAAGGCATCCAAATCGAAAAGGAGGAAGTGAAACTGTCATTATTTGCAGATGACATGATATTATACAAAAAAAACCCTAAAGACTCCACCAAAATACTATTAGATTTAATAAATGAATTTGGCAAAGTAGCAGGATACAAAGTCAACATCCAAAAAGCATTGACATTTTTATATACCAACAATAAACACACAGAAAGAGAAACTAAAAAAAAAAAACCATTTATCATTGCAACAAAAATACTAAGATACCAAGGAATAAACTTAACCAAGGAAGTAAAAGACCTGATCTCTAAATGCATTTTAATCTATGGTTTCCTCTGAACCATGCATGAGTAACCACTCCTTAATCTGCTTACATTTTCCAGGAATTTGTTGAAATTTCTCACCTGCTGCACCCACTGATATCTTCTTCCTTCTCTTTTTAGGTTTATTGATATATACCTTATTTTAAATTATTTTACTATCATTATAATAGAATTACAGGAAGAAGAGGAGATAAAACTGTATATATATAACCAGAAGTTGTAGCTCTTCTTTTTGGAGGTGTTTCTCATGTTAGATGACATCTTTGGTGTTTTTTTTTGTTGTTGTTGTTGTTTTTTCCAGCATTTCAAAAAGAATACCTCATTGTTGGTAGACATTTAAGATACTGTTGAGAGAGGGTTTGAAAACTCCTCTACAACATTGTCAGTATTTGTTAAAGCAATCAGCAAAGATCCTACCTGATCAAAGCCTCATTTAAAGTTTAACATGGTAAAAGAAGCTTCCCACGGGTAGGGTAGAGAAAAATGCTCTAAACTAGAATGGGCCTGCTGTAAATCTAGCCAGTCTCATTTATAGTTTCTGTTGATAATACTCATCAAGGTAGCAGCTCTGAAACGTGGAGCCAGTTGGACTGGCTACAACCAATATTTGCACAAATAGTTCCAAGAAGCCATCATAAGAAACTTGAGATCTCACAGAGGTTGTGTGTAGAATCTCAGTGAATCTGCCTGTATAATTTTTCCTTTTTTTAAGCCAGTGAGAAACCTTTTACTTGTCCTTTCATTTTGAAACTGAATCATATATTTTTTTCTATATCAAAGAGTCCCACTTTTTTTAACCTGACATCGGCATTACATAGAACCCCTGAAGTTGTATTGTTGTGAAAATAAGGGTGGTTATGGCTATAGTGGAAGAATACGACATAACTTTGATGTCTTGGCTAAGACTTTAGTATGACATTGGGGAAGGGCAGGCAGCAGGGGCAGAGAACATTATGAGTTGATTATTTTTAGTAAAATATTTCCATATGTACCTGACTTATGTTCATACTAACAAAACAAACTTTCCACATGGAATTATTCCTAGGCTCCAGAAGTGTGAAACTCAAGTCTTTGTTATCCTGATATCCCAACATTGATAGTATTATGAAAAGCAGGCTGTATGCTTTGTGGATGATAAACAGTAATTATTTGCTATTAAGTGGAATTTAAACCAAGAAAGAGTTGGTGCTTATTTTACATCATTTTTTAATTTAAGGTTGGAAAGCAAGAAGACTTATCAGGTAAGCTAAGAAGGAAAAAGAAAGTAGAAGTGTGTCAATTTCCAAGACTCAGTTTCTCCAAAGGTGGCATAACAGTTGGCTAAGACTAATACCGCCTCTAAAAAAAAAGATCACCTTCTGATTGACAACTCACTGTATTACTCAGCTACCCTCCTGGACTTCACAGCGTTTAGAGAAGAGTAAAAAATGAGCTGATGATTATACACAGTGATATATACACAGAACAAGAGGCAAGTTGAAGGAAGATCATATATATAGTAGAACACAAGCTGTCCAGTCAACCGAGACCTGGGTTTGAAGCCTGGCTCTGTGATAGAATACATTGATAATCTTGAACAAATCTTGAGAAATCAGTACTCAACATGTATTAAAGAAAATTAGATAAGGTAGTCCAGAAGCCCTTCAAGAACTTACGGGAAAGGTTGACAAATAAGTCATTAGGATGATTGTTGTGGTAGAAGAATGTACGGGGTGCTGTGAGACAGAGAAGGGACATCCGAATCAAATGAGAGGTCAGTGAAAGCTTCCCGAAGATATGAGCTCTGAAAGACCAAGAGCGTATAGGGACAGGGATTCCGGGCAGAAACCAGATCATAGAAGGTCATGTGTACATGCTCAAGACTTGGACTACCTTTTGTAGACATGGAGAGACAAGGAAAGGTTTTAAATAGGGAGTTGGGTTTTCAGATCAGGAGTTTAGATAAAACGATTGAGTGGCAATATGGGGGTTGGATAGGAGCAGAAGAGATTTGCAGTAATGAGATTGGTGAATAAACAAGTACTCCAGATGAAAAAGGATATAATGAATATATGCCATTCCAGGTAAAGATGACGAGGCTGCAGAACCAAGCTGTCCTCGTTTTCCCAGAACTGTTCTGGTTTAAAAAAAAAAACAAACAAAAAATTGAAAGTATTATATCCCAGGATACCCTTGAGTCCCTGGCAAGGAAGGACAGTTGATCAGCCTTTCTGAGGCTCTGAAGGTAGGGGTGAAATGGATGAGGTCACTAATTGAAGTGAAACCCAGGAGGTAACATCTATGAGACTCACAATTAGTTAGGTGTTGGAAGGGGGGTTAACAGAAAAGGAGAAATTGAAGACACCTAAGTTTTCTAACTTTGTTGCTGGACAAGCTAGTTATACCATCATCCAAGACAGATTGAATCACTGCATGTGAATTCTTTTAGATCATGGACTTTTACATCTAATTTATGATCCTATCCAGTCATGCATTTTTTGTATGTGTATTAATCATGGCAATTTCCTGTCTTAATTCTACAATTTTGATTGTTTTGCAATTTGTGTCCGGGGGGGGGGGGGGCAGTAAGTGTGGCAGTTTGGAATAGTGGTTTCGAGTAACTTGCATAATATCATCTACCATGTTTTCAGCCAGGTGCTATATGAAATATAAATGCTAATTCTGAACAACGGTGCAAAATAGATAGTGTTCATCTTTATTTTACAGAATAGAATATGGATGGTCAAAAGTGAATTATCTAATGTCTAAGAAGTTAAATGTTAAAGCTGGGATTTGGATTCAGCTCAACAGGAGGCCAGTTAGAGAGAGAGAGAGAGAAAGAGAGAGAGAGAGAGCGAGAGAGAGAGAGAAATCTGTTAGTGGCCCTATCTTTTGTTGATACAGTAAAATGAAAATATGCAGCAATATACAGGCCATGTGTGGCAGGGTAGAGATGATCTATCCATCCAAAGACCAGATCATGGTGTTTGTATCTTTTAGATTGTTCTTAGTAAACAGAGATTGAATTTGACAGTCTCTCTTCCAGGAATAGTGCAATTTTTTACACAAATGCCTCGTGACCTCTGGTGGCTTGCTGGATTTGCTTCTCTAAACATATCAAAATGAAACAAATAAATTTCAGGCTAGCATTCTTATGAAATAAATTTTAAATGATGCCATTTAGAAAAAGCCAGGAGGAGAAATACATGTAGCTAGTCAGCTCATTTTAAAATTTTCAACTGGAAATTTGCTATTTATGTTGTTTTTCTTGATTCTTTTCCAAATCAGCTTGCTTGTACAAGCCACAGATAAAGGGATGCCCAGGCTTTCTGGTACAGCTGTGGTCAAGATACAGGTGACTGATGTAAATGACAACGCCCCAGCTTTTCTCCCCCTTGAAGCAGTGGAAATTGCAGAAAGTAAGTGTGGCAGTTTGGAATAGTGGTTTCGAGTAACTTGCATAATATCATCTACCATGTTTTCAGCCAGGTGCTATATGAAATATAAATGCTAATTCTGAACAACCGTGCAAAATAGATAGTGTTCATCTTTATTTTACAGAATAGAATATGGATGGTCAAAAGTGAATGATCTAATGTCTAAGAAGTTAAATATTAAAGCTGGGATTTGGATTCAGCTCAGCAGGAGGCCAGTTCCTATGTTCATATCACCATTCCCATGAGCTCTTTGTGTTCAGATATTTCTTAAAAGTGAAATCTACTCTATGAAGAAGCACATTTTGTTGAATGATAATCACCCTAAAACTCCTCTGAGAAGAAGTGATCTCAGACTGATAACTTTGTCACTCTTTGCAATATACTAATGACAAGTAATATGTGAAAGGAATTGGATATTCATCGTACAAAAATCATCATTTTCCTCTAATGTAAACTAAACTTCAACATCTGTAGAAAAAATTTACCACATTTATGGTAGAGGAGGAAAATACAAAATTTTTACATGATATGCTGATTTTAATCTTAACTGTTTGGGCCTCTGGGTTATACGATGACTCCATAGACTATGATCCCAAAGTTGCCTGTAGTCAATGGCTCTAATGGTAAAACCCAACCCTTTATAGTTGCATGTGCAATAGTGTGGACTCTCATTTGCCTCTTTCCTTTCACTCTTAATACTCAGCTTACTCCTGAAGTGTTCCTAAGATTTTATATCCCTTTTTTCAAACAAATTAAAGCCATAGACACTCACAGAGAGATATATTCAAGAAATTTCTGTGTATAAGGACATCTACACATATTCTAAATATCTGAAAAAATTCTTCAGTTTTGCTTCCTACCTATTTGATATATTTTCATGTGCTTTTATTGAAGGTACTCTTCAAAAATACATGCATTAGCATCAAAATGCAGCAGGGTGCCCAGTGTAAATATATCCCAAGAACAAACAACATAAACCAAAACATACTAAATGGGGTAAGGTGTGGCTGGTGCACATCAAGAATGTTCAAGCTTGAATATGAAACTTATGAGCCTTATATGCCATGGAACTATTCAGAATTTCCTGGTATCTTCTTTCAACGTGTACCATACGTGGAAGCAGAAAAGCAAAGTCCCTTTCACACAGTTTAGGCTAGAGAACACACACAGTGTGTTAGATATTTAGCATGTCATCTATTTTGTGATTTTGAGGGTGGGTAATGAATAACCTTAAAGATTTTTTTTTATACCTAGCACTATGTATACTTTGTCATTTTGAGAGTCATATTTTAAGGAAAGGAAGCAATGTATGCATCACTCCAAAGGCAATAATTTTGCAAGATAAATGCAAAGAACTAAGTATATATTTTTAACTTCAATATACAAGCATTTTTATTCTAATCTTTCTTACCTTTCAAAGTCTAATGTTTTGAGAAATAACCTTTTCCCCACTGATATCCCCCATGAATATGTGATTTTGATACAAATACTATACAGTACAAATAAGTGGCTTATGTTTCTTGGTCCTGGAACTATGTTGTAAACATACAATGAAAAGGGTAATATAAACATTGAATATACCTTACCTCCTCAATTACCGACTCAGTAAATTTTTACTTTTATTGGGCTTATAAATTCTTCAAAGTTTTTGTTTCATTTATAATGACCTTTGTATGAAAAATCATGCCAAGAAACAGCAAATCATGTTGGACTTAAAATTTTTTAAAATGCTTGGATTGAACTATTAAAGAAAGATATTCAAAGGATGAGTTTTAATGGAGACTGACATTGGTCATGATTATTTCAGATTCTTTTCCTGGTGTAATTGTAACCCGGATATCAGTTCATGATGTGGATTTGAATTCAGCTTTCACCTTTAGTTTCTCCAAAGAGAGTAATCCTGGAACCAAGTTTGCTATTGATCAGAACACTGGAGTAGTGATGCTAATGAAAACATTGGATTTTGAAGAAGCTACTGAATACGAGCTACTTATCCAAATTTCTGACTCAGTGCACCACACAGAGGGAGAACTCATTGTTCGTGTGCTGGATGTCAATGATAACCCACCAGTTTTTTCTCAAGTTTCTTACCAGGTAAACAGCTTACAGAGATGCTGAAGCATAATCCAAGCTAGAAAGGAATGGGGAATGCTGTAGGCCTTCCATCGTTGACAGTCGAATTTACAGATACCGCAGTCACTGTTTTTAGGCTTAAGTGTATGCTGAGGGTTTTATATTTAATATCACAGAGGATAGAAGTATATATATATGGAATTAAATATATCATTCTATTTTGTTCCTTAAGTATGTATCATATCATGTGTTATCATATGAAACTATGTCATCATTTGTCTAGTTTTTAGGGATTTAGGTCCAGTTGTTAATAACAATTAGAAATTAATATTTTCAAAGCCACAGATAAGACAATAACATAGCCTGGATGATCTGAGTTAATTTGGGAAAGCTTTTTCTCTCCTAGGCATATGCTTAGAATATTTTGGAATATTGATTAACATTTTACACAAATTATAAACAAAAGTGGAAATTTTCGCCTTTGGACCATAGTATATGTTTATAGAAGTAAGGACAATGATAGCATTCCACTACGTACTTGGAAGTGGGCTCTAGGATTCTTGACTGTAACACATGCAAGGTGTCTGTGTAAACAGGAGAAAAACTCACCTAAGTAATGAGCTTTGAAGGCTTGCTAAGTTATATAATGTATATAAGTAATAATATATCACTGAATGTATTAACTATCCTCTACCACATAATTTAGAAGGAATTTTTTTCATAATAAAAATAAAAAATTAATTTTTAAAAGTTTTCTGAATTCTGGGGCCACAACATAATCTCAATATGTCAATGCTGGAAATGAAGGGGCCTAATCAAGTCAGGCTCACTGTGTATTTTGCATAAGCAAAATCAATAAAGTGATCTCAGGTGTTGGCCCTGCCCATGAACATATCTCTGGTCTCTAAGCACAATGTCCATTTCTCTCTTTTTCTCTCAGGTCACCGTTCCAGAGGCGGTGCCCGTGGGGTACCCCGTGCTGACTGTGGCCGCTACAGACCTAGAAAGCAACGAGTCCATTTCTTACAGAATGCTCTCACCTTCGAAGGACTTCTCTATCGATCCTATGAATGGTGAGTTATTTACAGTGGCTTTAGTGTTCACAGGTTTGAGTTACAGAGTAGAAACCTGAAATAATCCTTTCCAAATGCTCCTAAAATAGCTTCCCACACCCACCTCCTGGTATTGTGGACATTGCCATCTTACTTATCTTCACATCGAAAGCTGTGGTAGCGAATCCCAGCGTTATTTCTCTTCTTTGGCATCTCAGTGGCTGGAAAGTGAAAGGAATTGATTAAATGCTGTCAGTGACTCAGAGGTTCAGAGACCCCTATATCGTAGACACCCAGACCATCAAGTCCAACCAAGCACAGTTCAAGTGGTTATCCCAGGCCTCAAAAGGATCAAGTAAAGTTGAAAGTTGAAGGGATTAATTTAGTACTGAGGACTTCATATTCCCAGAGTTTATAGCTTTTTTTGAAGCCCAGGTACAAAAAGTTCAGTAATAGCATCATACATTTAATAAGGACCCAAACAATTTTTTTAAAAAAAGTTATTTGAGCATCTCTGCTCAGTAAACATGATTGTGCTGTTCTGGTTTAGTTGATGCCTTCCAAGGCTCTTTGTGGTTTTATCAGAGCAAAACGTGTGCGGCTATGTAATGCATTTAAGCAAGTGATTTCAGAGTAGAGCAGTTAAGCATTGCACAGAGAACGTTTAACAGTGAGTAGACACTAGAGCTAAATTTGATAAAGATGAATAATTAGCACAGCACAGCCCCTAACAGAGCACACTATGGAAAAGAACGACCTGGGACACAGGACAGCATGTGTTCCCATCTATACCCACCGTTGCATCATTTCACAGGTGAGGGCTGATCGTAGAATTACCCTCAGGATGGGGATGTTAACTAGACTTATTGTGGTGGTCTTTTCGCAATATATACACATATTGAATCATTATGTTGTATTTCTGAAACTAATATATTGTTATATGTCAATTATATCTCAGTTTTTTGTTTTTGTTTTTAATTTAACCTCAGGATTACCTGCAAGGAGAATTTAGTCACAAAATTATCCATGGAGTGTTGTAATCAGGAGAAGTAGATAATGTTTCCACATGTGTGGATAAATGGCAGTTGTCTGGATATAAATGTGGGGAGAATTTGACTTTCCTTTCCTTCTCTCTCTCTCACCCTAACTCTCTTTCTATTTATTTATTTTGAATACATATACACAAATATAATACTTGTACAAATATATAACTTGTGTGTATATATATATTTGTACTCAGATTATGACAATTGCTGCCCTGGCCACAGCAAATCACAGTGTGGAAGGTGGAAGATGATCCCTTTTGCTTGACATGTGTTAACAACACACTTTGCAGTAAGATATTGATTAGAACGTCTTTAAAACATTAACTCTTACCAGGTCAGCTTTGTTCATGGTGGAACTCCAACTAAAATGTGGCATTTGAATGACAGCATTTTGTATTCTTTTTTAGTGACCACCCTTAAAACACATTTGTCTTAGAAAAATGCTGTTACATACATAGTTATAAAAATTACATATTTCTATGTTTAAAATAATAATACATTGTGTTAAATATATTTCATCAATGAGGTAGAAATCCACACACTGAATTAACCAAGAACTTTAGGAAAGATGCCTCTATAACTAAGCAATAGTTATAGTTGCATTATTATATTTACTACTTGTATTTAACTACAGTGGTCTCAACCAGTATTTCCAGAATGAATATCTAAATGCTAGAATATCTCTATACTTGTGTCTATGGGTAGTAGCACGAGGACACATTTTTCAAATAAGAATACATTTTCTTTAAAAAGTAGCAATGGAGCCCTGGCCAGTTTGAGTGTCGGCCTGCGGACCAGAGAGTCCCAGGTTTGGTTCCCGCTAGGGGCATGTACCACCACCAAAAAAAAAAGTGGTAATGGAACAACTTATTATACAAAAAGAAAATTAAAAGAAATGTATGGCAAAGTTATCTGCAAGCAGCACACATATTTAATAGAATGAATGTCACAAATATTTCTGACTCTTAAATGTTACAAAAGTATAAATATAATTTTAATTGTCTCTTTGGAGTTACTCTTGGTTGTAACTTAAGTAACAAATGTAAGAAATAAACAGTAAATATTTGATAAACATTTGCTACCTAAATGGATCGTGAAAATTTAACTTCACAACATTGAAATGCTACATCTTGTTTTTCAGGCACAATATGTACTACCAGTCCTATTTCACTTCTGGATCAAACATCAACAGTTCAATTTCTTGTTGAAGCCAGCGATGGTGGAATTCCTGACCTGAGGGCTCTTACCTTAGTGGAGATAGAAATACAAGATATGAACAATTATGCCCCTGAATTTGCAGTAGAATATTACAATCTCAGCTTGAGTGAGGACGCTCAAATTGGAGGCACGCTTGTCACCTTTTCAACGACTGACCGTGACTGGACCCCTGAAAACACACGTGTTGAATATTCCATCATCAGTGGTAATTCACAGAACAATTTCCACGTGGAAACTAGTTTAATTCTCTCACAATATCCTTATAAGCAAGTTGGCTATCTGGTGTTGCTTCGCAATCTGGACAGAGAAGCATCTGCCAGTCATAAGCTTGTCATTCTGGCATCTGACCATGGCTGCCCTCCACTGAGCTCCACCGCCACTGTGTCAATAGAAGTGCTTGATGTCAATGACAACCCACCTAAGTTCAGCAGTCTGAGATACCATGCCCATGTCAAGGAAAGTACCCCTCTAGGGAGTCGCATCACTGTGGTCTCAGCCAATGACCGTGATGTGGGTTTACACGCAGAAATCATCTACCACATAATCTCTGGAAACGAGAAGGGGCACTTTTACTTGGAAGAAAGAACTGGAGTTCTTTATTTGACTAAACCTTTGGATTATGAAGAAACAATAAAATTCACATTAACTGTCCAAGCTTCGGATGAAGAAAAGAAGCATTTTTCTTTTGCGGTTGTGTTTGTCGGTGTCCTAGATGATAATGACCATGAACCTCAGTTCATGTTTCCAAGCTTGAACTGTGTTGTTCCTGAAAATCTGCCTGTTTTCTCCACCGTATGTTCTGTGAATGCTTTGGATTTTGACGCAGGTCCTTATGGAGCATTGACCTATTCTATTTTATCCCCCTGTCCTGCCACGCATGGGGTGCCTCAGGACCATGATCCCTTCCTCATTGACCCTCTGACAGGGGATATTCATGCTAGGCAAGTCCTTGACTATGAAAATGACAATAAATACTGCCTCCTGGTTCAGGCAAAAGACAAAGGAGACTCAACAGCCTCTTTAACAGTTTGGGTGGATATTGAAGGGATAGATGAGTTTGAACCCATTTTCACTCAAGATCAGTATTTTTTCAGCCTCCCAGAAAACTATAACATAAGACAGTTGGTTGGCAGAGTGGAAGCATCAGACGCAGATGCCGGCATCGATGGTGTTATTCTTTACTCCCTTGAAAAGCCATCTCCTTTCTTCTCAGTGAATAAAACGAGTGGAAATATTTATTTGACCAGAGCCCTCCCCCTGATGAATCACATCAGCAAAGAAGACACCATTGAAATGAAAGTCATCGCACATAGCCCTAAAGAGGACTCCAGGTTTGCGTCCTGCACCATCTTCGTGAACGTGTCTTTTTCCTCGGGAGGAAAGCGCTCGTCCGTGGCAGCTAGCCGCTTCTCAATCAGCCTCACAGTCTCCTTTCTAGTGTTCCTGTTACTCGTCCTCATTCTGATGGTCCTGATTTTAAGACATAAGCAAAAAGACGCAATCAACAGTTATGAGGACAAGAAAACATCCCCGTCCTTGGATATCAGTGTGAGACTGACCAGGGATGGCAGCTTGCTCCAGTCCTTCCAGACACCGGATGACTGCAGTCATGCGGCTGTGCCTGGGGACACCACGCCGGAATGGTTGAGTTTGATAAGCATCGTGGAAAAAGACATCGTAAATCTGTACAGGCACTCAAACTCCAGCGGCCACTGCTCTGTGGAAGGAGAAAGTGCAGAAGATAAGGAGATCCAGAGGATCAATGAGCACCCTTATAGAAAGGACTCTGGCTCAGCTCTGAGTGGCCAGGAGTCCAGGGTGCCGGACTCTGGAGTCCCAAGGGACTCAGACCAGCTCTCCTGCTTGTCTGGGGAAACTGATGTGGTGGTCACTGTTGTAACAGCAGAAACCAGCCACATGCTTGAGGAAGGACATGGAAGAGAAGGCTGTAGCACAGCTTACATTCAAAATAATGTGTTACCCCAGGCGCTAAAGATGAGAGAGGTAAAAGTGGACATCCCGGGTGAGGTCAGGAAAGGCCTTGTCTTTATTTCAGGTGATCCAGAAGCGAAATGCGCAGCTCTTTCAACACAGAGAACCTCTGATCATGATGTGAGAGGCGGCTACCACTGGGATCATCTTCTCAGCTGGGAACCCAAGTTCCAACCTCTTGCTTCAGTATTTAATGATATCGCAAAACTAAAGGACGAACATTTACATGAAGCTGGGATTCCCAAAGGGAAGCAGTCTTTTGTTTTTCCGCCCCCTTTGATAACAGCAGTAGCCCAACCCGGGATTAAAGCAGTTCCACCAAGAATGCCAGCCATAACCTCGAGGCAGGTGCTTCAAAAGTATCCACACTCCCCCCTGCTCTACCATCTCAATTCTCTGTCTGAAGCAATGACTCCCAGTTTTTCTCCATCTCTTTCCCTGTTGACGACACAGACCCCTGCCATGACTCCACTGCTGTTGCATGGAGATTTCTTAGGAACACATCTAGGTGATACATGCCATGAACTTAAAGCAGAAGATGACGTTCAGATATAAAACAATTGTGATGTCAAGTACCTGCTCACCTTGGGCCACGAAGGACTGAACAGAACGTTCATAAGCAAGCTGCTCCTGATTGGTTCATTTCATCTACAAGGGAGAGAGATAATTTAGTCAGGGTTTTTAGAACCTCCTCATTTAAGTTTTTTGAATTTCTTCCAGCCTTAATGAGAAGTTACCCCTCTTTTAACGTGTGTGTTTCGCTCTCAGGACTCATTTGTATATATTAAGTAGTATATATTCTATCATACCTGATTTTCTGTATGATTAGATTTCCAAAGGACACCGCGAACTTGACTGACTGCCAACATGTTCATATGGAAATAAAGTACAGGTATAGTCACTTGATCACATTACTGCTGATTACACAGTGATTTGGAAGGATTAGCTTACGTTTCAAAGTGAAGCACTTTTCTGTCCATCTGACCTGTTTAGAGATGCATGTCTCCACTTTCGCCATCAGCCACAGTTGTGGAGTTTAACCATTTGAATTTTAATGTGGCGTCTTTTGGAAATATAATGAGAAATTAAGAATGAAATTTGTCATAACTCTGTGCCAAATAATACAATGATGCTTGATTAAATGAACCAGAAATATTCGTTCTTGACAGAGGGCCAGGGTTGATCAAAGCAGTAAGTGCATGGTTGGCTGTCACCTGACACGTTTCCTTGACCTTGACAAAGAGAATGATGCTTTTTTTTTTCAATGTTCTGTCTTGTAACATTGTACGGGTACAGACATTAAAGTTTAAAGGTTAATTCATAGATTTTTTAAAAAAATTTTATTATCTTCTAGATATAGTAACTTTCGGTGAGAAATAATTTATCCACTCATTGTCGGTTTTAAAAGTTTGTGTATATAAAACTATGTTATTAGCTAATAATAATTTTTGTAGAGTAATGTTAGCAATATATTTTTCAATGAAGATTTGTTTTACATAAATATTTCTACTATAAAAGTTAAGAATGGATGTCAGAAGTCTTTCTTCCATTCGTTCATGTTCAGCTTTAACTGACAATGCATGGAGCCGTTTGGCAACTCAGTTAAAATAATTCTGTTTTGTTTGGCTCCTGTTTCAGAAATATAGTGGTGTTATGTGGTGCTCACATATAACACAATTTCCTCCTATCTGGTGAGCCTGAGAATCCATCCAAAGTTCTTATCTGTTCCAGGAAAACAGAGTACTTCCCAATGACGATGGTCCAGAAGTCATTCACAGTAGGCAACACGGCCAGTCTGTAAAATAAGAATTTAGGATTCTCATGGGCCTCTGGTGTGGTTTTCTAGGTGGTTAGTGTGAGCATCGGCTATAGAAACCTTTTCCTTATTTTTTTTCAATAGGCCTTATCTGTAAAATGATGTGAGATAACTCATTTCTCTTTACTGAAAAACATTACAGAATGCTGTGTTTGATATCCAGTTTTGTAGGTAAATAATTCGAATGTTTTCTATGCTGATTTGATCAAATACATATCGCTGCTGACTCTCAAGTTGAGAACAAGTGTATAAAACGACATTAGAAACTGTGTGAGAAATGAAGGTTTTTGGTTGAGCCTGGAGTCCGAGGGAACGTCATTTAGGCATGGAACACTTACATATTAAAGAAGAATGCATGTTCGCCTTTCTTCTGTGGCAGCATCGGGGAAGAAGAACTCATGGTTTTTCTAAAAAAAAAAAGAGTTAATTAGTCCAGTGTTCCAATATTTATTTTCTCTTTGACTTCTTCAAAAGATCACTTTGAGCCTACAAAGACATTTTCTACTGATTTTGTTTTCTAATTGTATATGGAAGTTTTGTTTTGCAACAGACTTATTTCTAGGAACCAAGAACATTTTGTTGTTTTCAATGAAACAGGTTCTTTATTTACTTATGCTTAAAAAGAGATATCTAACTCTGCCTTAAGTTATTTGTCTGTGATTTATTACTCCTTCTGGACAGGATTCTGCATTTTTCTAAGACATTTAATAAGAAGAGAAGACAAGAAGTATTTAGAGCCATTCCTTACCAATATCTAGTGGATTTTTAATTGATGACTTTATTAATACTGTATCCAACGCCACACCACCACCAAACAAACGCTCCGAGTGGGGTCAAGAGTAAAAATGTAAACACACTGGTTAAGTGTTCGCAATAAATCATATGTCAGCCCTTTCAACCAGAGTGCTTTTTTCCCTAAATAAACAATATAATTTGTATAGTTTTCCTTCAAGTTTAATATTAACTTGACTCATATGTTCTGTGTTACTTTGCTGATCTACACACCGGCTTCAGCACTCTGGAGGGGGTACAGAACTTGTTAGTGGAAAATCATATTAAGCCCCAAATTCATAAGCTATAAAATAAAAGACAGTTGTCTGTTGTGGAATTTTGGCTGCCTGAAATTCTGGACTTTCTTGTTGGCAGCCTTAAAAATACTGGTGTAAATCAGTACCAAATGGATATCAAAATTCCATGTCCTAGTAGTAATCATCGAATTGGCTTCCAAAACATATTCCTGTGCAAAAAGGGGGGGGGGGGGGGGGCGGATGCTGTATCTTTAGGGATTGGATCATTTAACTGTTTTCTAAAAATATTATAATGCACTCTAAACTAGTGGCTGCCTACATGTATACATACGTGGTCTAGAAGAAATGTCCGGTTGAGACGGGAGTTGTGTTTCTCAGCAGCTTTACCTTCAATTTCGGTGGCCTCCTTGCTGCGTTTTCTAGAATTTATAGAGATGAAAATTAATTACTAATTTTAAGCTTATTTACATCCAGATAAATGTTTTGTTACATTTGTTTTGTTTTGCCATTTTTATTTTAACTTTAACTAAAAAAAAGCAAGACGTAGCTGAAAGGATTAAAAGGATCTAAGACAATCGTTTACCTCAAAGCAATGAAATATATGGAGTGAATATGGTGAGTGGATTTGCACATGATTATTCTGGATAAACTCTCTGGGTTTATTTTTACAGAATGTTTTTAGTTGAGTTTAAAAGTATAGAGCCATCACCCTGGCTGGTTTAGCTTAGCAGTTAGTGACGACCTGAGGACTGAAGGGGTCATGAGTTCAATTCCCGGTCAAGGGCATGTACCTGGGTTGCCGGTTGGGTCCCTGGCCCTGGTCGGGGTTGTGTGGGAGGCAACCAATGGATGATGTTTCTCTCTCTCTCTCTTTCTCTCTCTCCCCCCTCCCTCGCTCTTTCTCTCCCCTTCCCTTCCACTCTATTTAAAAAATCAATGGAAAAACATTCTTGGATGAGGTTTAACAACAACAACAAAAAATACAGAGCCATCTGTTTGGTTGTACCTGAGGAGAGGTTGTATAGAAAATCATTCTGTTCAGCGACACCACAATCGATGACGTTGCAGAAGCTCTGCTTATGACAAAAACCAGCATTTCTCTGAATGAAGGTAGCTCTCCCCCATTATAGAGGTGGTGGGAGAGAAGGAGGGAGGAGAGAATACAGGATTAAATCAGAAAAGGAATAGTTTAGGGCACTGGTGGAGAAATGCAAGAAGAGAAAAGGGTACGGACTTGTAAAAAAAAAAATCATTTTTAAATGTAAAGATTTTGCTGAGTCATTTCCCCATTATAGGTTCATCCTATTGAGGAATCTTTTTAATTTTATTTTTAGAAATCTTTTTTTCTCCTCCTTCCTTTCTGTTCCTTTCAAGTCTCTATCTCCATTGCTCCATTGTCTGAAAATTTAGATTTATCAAGCTATGAACCTAAAACTAGGCAAGAGTGAACTAAAATAAAATTGACTATGAAAACTTGGATTTCTTTTTGATGAATTAGAGAATGAAAAATTTGGAATGATTACCTTGCCTTATTTCCCACTCTACATAATTTTGGCATTGAGAGTGCTACAATATTAAGTAGGTGACTTTATACATATATCAAGAAATGAAAGTTCAGAAGGCAGCTGGGACAGAATATGGAATTTTATAGTACCTGGTCTTTTTTTCTGGTAGCTCCTCCTTTTTAAAAATGAGTCCTTGCTTGATAGTCATGATATATTAAAATATTACATATTATGGACTTCTGGTCAAGATAGTGGTGTAGGTAAATGCAAGATGGCCTCCTCCCACAACCACATCAAAATTACAAGTAAACTACAGAACAACCATCATTCAAAACCTCCTGACATCGAGCTGAATAGAAGTCCTACAACCACGGACTTAAAGAAGCAACCACAATGAGACTGGCTCCAGCGTGGAGGAGGCAGCTTGAAAGGCTCCAGAGACATAGTGGAAGAACTGAGTTGTTTGGCTTTGGGGTGACAGCTGGAGAGGCAGCTTTCTTCCGGATGGACGTGCTGGTGGAGGCCATTGTTCCTTTGGTGAGCCCTCCCACACAGGGCAGGCAGATAGCCGCCAATCTGGGACTCCACTAACCTGGCTCACACTATTTGCCCACCCTGGTGATTCCACGAGGCCCCGCCCTACCCAACTTTCAGGCCCACTCAAGCTGTTTCCAGCCGCTTTACCACCGTAGGAATGGCCTGTCTTGGCTCCTGTTTCAGATTTTCCTAAATTCTCTCAAAAAAGGCAGCATCTGGCCTCAGCGAGCCCCATACTTCTCACTAAGTGGCCCCAGGACTGGCACTAAGAACAGCCAGCCTTGGTTCACAGCTTGGTCTTGCCTGAGCACCTCCAAGCCCAGCACAGGAAGCAGCCATCTGCAAATCACTTTGTATCTTATGCCTGGTGGCCCCAGATAGAACGCAGGCAATGGCTGACCTTGCCCCAGCACACTCAGTGGACAGTTTCAAAACACGGTGAAGCACCACCACCCAACCACTTACACAAGTGACATACTCAAGGAGTGGACTCAGTGGGTACCAGAGCCCTGATGAAGTATGTCTTTCTCTGGTGTGGTGGGCCCCTGCACAGCTGGTCCTCTAAGGTAGTCAGAGGTCAGTGGTCAGTGGGCACAGTGAGTCCTTGCAGCTGATCTGCCTGAGTAAATCCCTCCCATTGATGTGCCAAAAGCAATCAAGACTCAATTA